AAACCAGCACGAGGGTGCAGTAGTGGCACTCACTGCTATTTCTCTCTGCTCTGTTATCCAGGGTGCCCAACTCAGACAGATCTCAACCTTTCTTGGGAAAAAGGGCCATAACCTGGCACGGCTGGATGGAGCCCTGGGCAGCCAGGTCTAGTATTAAATGTGAAGGTTGGTGGCCCTGCCTATGGCAGGCGGGTGGGAACTTGATGATCCTTGGGGTCCCTTCCATCCTAAACCACTGCATGATTCTATGATTCTATGATAGTGGTGCAGATAGGCCACCAAGCAAAACTCAGTGAGTCCTGGACCTCTAGGAGTCAAGGATGCTGGTCCTTAGTATCACTTTCCCCTTCTCATGGAGCAACCAGGCATGTGGTGCTTCTGCCAAGACCTGAGCAGCCAAAAGGTGATGGATGGGCTCAGGGCATGGCATTCGTTGTGCTACAAAAGTCTGCCCTGAGTCTCTCCAATGTTCAGGCTGCAAAGTCAATGCCCTGGCCCTTGGCCAGCTGTTGAGAGCAAAGCCAGAACAAACACTCCCCTCAGACTAATTAGACTGAGGTTAAGTGTCGGGAAAGTCACTGCCTGTCCCGAGGGGTTGTTCCTGGAGGAGATGGCCAGGGGGCATCATCATCCCCAGGCAGAGTGACCACATTGTCTCCCCTGGGCAAAAACCTGAGCCTCGTGCTGGAGATGTCCATAGAACAGTTCTGCTTCAAACCCCCATTTGTTTCCTGTCAGCCCCAGGTCTCTTGACTTTCTGAAAGACAGCTGGTTGTCATAGAGCCTTGTGTATGGGGGAAAACATCCCCCAGGATGACCAGGACCTTGTGTATGGGGGGAATGTCCCCCAGGATGACCAGGTTCCTGCTTTCCCCTCCAGCCCTACCCTGGAAAGATGTAGGTGAGATTGCCTTGGCTCGAGGTAATCAGGACCACAGTATAGCTGAAAAAAAACAAGGACATTTTCTGCAATAACTTCTGCAGTTGAGTCAGCATCATTTCTCCTCTCTCCTTGGGACAGTCAGCGGTGGAGCTGGTCCACCAAGTGGGTCTGCTGCAAGATGCTGTGAGCTTTTACCTGTAGAAAATGCCTTTCTGTAGATGGTGCCTTCTTTAAAGCTCTCAGGTCTTGAAATCATAGAACGAAAGAATCATGAAGGTTGGAAAAGACCTCAAAGGTCCCCACATCCAACCCCAACACACCCCACCATGCCCACTGACCGAGTTCCTCAGTGCCACGTCTCCATGGTTCTGGTGCACCCCCAGGGATGGCGACTCCTCACCCCTCTGATCAGCCCGTGCCAGTGCCCAAACGCTCTTTGGAGAGCAAATTGCTTCTAATATCCAACCTGACCCTCCCCTGACACAACTGGAGGCCATCATCTCCTGTCGTATCATCATTTACCTTGGAGAACTCCATCCTTGGAGAGGACATCTGTGTATCCAACCCACAGTGTTGTCCTGGTGGGTTTGAGCTGCCATGGGCTAAGCTCTCTCCTGGCTGTGGTTAGCAGTATGGATATAGCAGAGGAAGTTTGTTGACTACAGAACACTTGCAGTGAAGGAAAAACAAAAGGCTCCTGCTGCAGAAATCAACAGCAGAAAGGGGAATTACAGAGCAATGGAGATGCTTCTTGAAATTAGAAGTCTATCACGAAGATTAAATGTGGAAGTGGACCAAGGAAGCACTGTTTTGCAACGGTTCTTCAGAGCAGCCTGCACTAAATGCAGGGTGAAAATTGTCGCTGGAAGGATGAAAACCAGCAGAAAGTCCACAGGGTGTCCAAGAGGGGAGACATGGAAGGAGGTAAACATAGAATGATAGAATGGTTTGAGTTGGAAGGGACTTAGAGGCCACCTGGTCCCACTGCCCACAGAACACCCATGGCTCCATCAGTGCTGAGAGCCCCATCCAGCCTGAAGATGGCAAACTGAATGCCAGTTGTGCAGGATAGATTTTGGGGATCAACTTGTAAAGAGTAGGAGGAACCAAAGTCCACAGCAAAGAGCTGGTGAGACCCAAGGGGGAATGAGGATCCTCCTCAGAAGTGCTGGCCAAGACCCCAATGGACAATTCCAAGGGACGGCACACAGATCTGACAACGCCTGCAGCTCATCTTCCGTCACACAAGGAAGCACAAAAGCCCCTTTCAGTGTTATTAAACCACCTGAGATCACCCGGAGTCAGCTTGCAGAGTGCAAGGTAAACATTTGCTCTTCATGGGCAAAGATTGCTTTATTTTTCACGGCTGGCCTCAAGCACTGCTTTTATGAATGCTGTATCGGCAGCACAACAAAGCAAACAACAAAGTCTTGCTTTTATTCCAACAAATCAGGCTTCTCTCAGCCCTCTGATTGATTCCTTCCCCATGCAGGGTTGGCAGTGAGCATGCGTCCACCCTTGCCACAATCCGTGCATTAAATGGGGCCAGGCTGAAACCCACAGAATGGCCAGGCTGGGACAGAAGGTATTTTTCGACTGGGTGGCTGAACCAAAATTTCAGAGGAAAAAATGATCCCGGTCAACAGGAGGTCAAAGCAAATAGTTTCTGTCTGGTTCTTTAACCCTTCCTTATTTTGGTTTGGTTTGAATCGTGGAATACTCCTGCTCTCCTCAAACCAAAGCTTCGTTCTGGGAGAAGAAAATCTCCCAAAACAACGATGTCTGCCACTGTTCTGGAGTTGAACTGTTCCCCTCAGGTGATCTCCAGTGATCAATATGGACGTTTCTGGCTTGGGGATGGGTGTGGGTATGGCCAGTGATGGCCAAGGAGGTTGGGTCGTGGTGGGTGAATGCCTGCAGAACACCAGGACTGCGTGGAGCTTTTCCTGAGCAGTGGTGGCGGGGCCATCCCATCACCCAGAGAGCAGCATTCGATGGGGCTCCATCCTCCTCACGGCTTGGAGATGGGCTCCCTGGAACAGCTCTGTTTGGGGATGCCTGCCATTGGATTGGTGGAGGCCACCTATATCGAGGTAGAAAGGCTTCAACCCCACGGGATGTGCTACCCTCAGGGCAGAAAATGGGCTCTCACGGACCTGCACAGAGTTTGCTCATCCCATGCTCACTGCATATCCTTGGATCACAGATCACGCAGCATCTCAAGTCTCTCTCAAGGATACCTGGTCTCCTGGAGGAGCCACCCTTGCCCTGGGGGTGCGGAGCTTTTATGCAGGCCAACATCTTTGTCTGAACAGGGGTTGCATCACCCAAACCAGGCAGCCGATGGGACAGAGCCCAGAGCACCACGCACCCTCCTGAGCTGCTGTAAAGGGAACCCAAAGGCGTGAAGCTCTCTTTCTCCACCTACGGGCATCAGGAAGAAGAGCAGCCACTGCAAATTAATGTTACGACGATTTATAGAATGACAGAAAATCTGGAAGTGGAAGGGATCCACAGGGATCACTGAGTCCAACACAGAACCCACCAGACCCGAACCCAATGGTTCCAGTTTCTGTATTGGAAGGGGTTGTAGCAACGTGCTGCTCTTTGTGCTGCAGGACCAGACAAACAAGGAGCTGGGGTTGCAACATCTGGGAAGCGTTGCTGGCAGAGGAACGATGAATTTCTAGGAAATTATCCCAGAAAGTCTGAATGAGGTTCAGACCAGTGAGGTATTAATCACAAGCTGGAGCTGGGGCTGTGGGATGTGGGCAGAGCTGGCCGAGGGCACCATCCCTACGGGTCCAACTGGAGCTGAGCCCCAGATTCTGGAAGCAGCAGCCTTGATCCCAACCCCAACTCATCACTCCAGTTGCTGCAGGGGGGGTCCCTGAGCCAGGGCCACCCGGGTGGGAGACCACGACTCGTTTATCTAATGAAGAGCAGATGGGGAGGCAGCAGGGGGTGCTGCCGTGGGGCTTTCAGATTTTCCTTGGCAATTTCCTATGGATTTTTGGCTGCTGCAGCATTCAGGACTCAGTTTGCATCTGGCGCTGGGTGGGTCTGGGGCAGCTCCAGCTGACACTGCTGGCAGTGTGGTGATAGGGATGCCTCCCAACCCGTGGCCTCCGTTATTGTTAAATCTCAGCCTGCCTGCTCCTACTGTGATGAGAAAAAGGAAACTGAAGGACCATGGAGCCTCCATGCAGTGGGCAGGGACGGAGCTGGAGAATGGGGGACTGGCTGGATGGAAGGCAGGTGGTGACATCAAGGCAGGTGACAACACACAGCAGGTGACGACCTTGCGGTAGGAGATGGGACCTGTATGATGGGTGATGGGTGACATCAAGGCAGATGATGACCAGAGGGAAGAGGATGAGCACAAGGCAGCTGGGGGCACCAAGGCAGCCGAGGACCTCAAGGTGGATGAGGTCACAGCAGTGATGGCCACCCAGACAGTGGATGACATCATGGCAGACAACGGGCACGGGGTGGATGGTGACCTCAAGGCAGCTTCTTGGGGACCCCCAGCTCCCCACTGCCACATCCTATTGGTGTCAGCTGAGGACTCTGCTGAAAATGGATTCAGTATTAAAAAAACAGGGGATAACGAGGAGGAACCCCCCTGCTGGATCCCACTCCTCTGCAGTCAACACTCATTGTAAAGAACCCCCTGAGAAAAGGTAGCATCCCACCGCCCTACTTCCAAGCCCCACCAAAACCCAGTGGGAACACTGAGATACCCTCAAACCATAAAGATTAGATCCCTGAATTTGGGGGGAAATGGCATTTCCAGCTGAGGTCTGGTGGAAGAGCTTGGAGATGCCAGTGATTAAACCCAAATGATGCAGAAAGAGAGGAGTGGCACACATGCATTACAGCCGCAGGGGCTGAATGGGCTCCCACCCTGCACGTCCCAACCTGGAAAGGGTAATAAAAGGGTTTTATTGCCCCGTTTTCAGGGCTGCAAGCAGGCTGTCCTCTGACTGCAGAGCCCAGCCTCTCCCTTTCAATGGAAAAATCTTCCTTTTTGGATTAATTGGTATTCCAACAGCCCCAGACTGGATGGCATAGAGCAAAAGATGAAGAGGGAAAAGAGGACAGATTGAGGGGGAAGGAATTTTTTCCATTTAATTTCCTTTTTAAACAGTTGTTCAGATGGGAGTGTGGAACCTAATGACATTATTTTCCTTTCCTTCAGGTTACCACATAGTAGAGGCTTCGAGCTGTGGAGCTGTGGAGCCGTGTTTGAGCCCCAAACTTCCTTCTTTTCACATCCTCTCTTTTTCTTCCATTTTCTTTTCTATTAATTTTGTTATTTATTTACTTACATCCATCTCCATTCTTTAAACTGTTTCCTTCAGCTCTGAAAGCTGCGGGATACTTCAGCACGAAAACCCTCTCACTCCATTTTGAAGGAAGAGCAAATTCTGAGGGACCCTCCTTTGGGGCTGCCCCATCCACCCCATCTGGAGAAGCCAAAGACTCCCAGAAAAGGGGAAAAAAAAGATATTTCAGCTGAACTTTGGGACACCACCTACCACCTTTCCCCACTCATCACTGGTTATGGCATCGTTGATCGTTGCTCAGGGAGTGCTGGGACACTGCTCTGAGCCATAGGGCAGGGGCTCAGGGATGCTGTGTGGGGCTGGGGGTTGGGCTCAGCGATCATGGCTGTGACTTGATGATCCTGAAGGTCTTTTCCAAGCTGAGCAATTCTATAATTCCATGATGCGTCCCTTCCAGCTCGGGGCTGGAGTTCAACAACACGGCTAATGGGACCAGAAATGACTCGGGGTGAGGGGAGACAGACAGCTGTGATCCTTAGAAAAATTCACCCTCAAAGAGGAAAACCAGAGGGCAAATGAAGCCAGGGCTCGTTCCTCGAGAAACGGACGGACGCAGCGAGTGGCTGACAGTAATGATAATGGCTGACTCTGCCAACTGGAAGGGACACGGAGGGAAGGAAGAGCCCGGATGCTGGGATGGTGTGCAGAAAGACGAGGAGCTCGTGCCTCCACCCCCGCCGTGGGGCAGATGGGTTGGCTTGGCTGGAGACCAGCAGCACTCTCAGCTTTCTCTTCCTGCTCCCAGCGCCAAGAGGCACTTAGAAAAAGTGGGTTTTCTGGTTTCTCTTTGTTGCTCTGAAATAACTCCACAACCTCCGTGCTCCCCATCTGCGTGCGTTGTTCTTGCTTAACTTTCGTTCCTGGGTTTTGAGTGACTCACACGAGTCAGTGCTGGCATTGGCTGCAGAGGAGTCAGGGCACGAAAGGCTTGGGTGTGATGCAGGAGAGCCCACAAGTGAAAGCTGGGCACGTGCTCCATCCTCGTGGCTTTTGCCTTGGGGTGAGAATCTCAAACCTGGGCTGGAAATCAAGCAGGATGTTAGAGCATAGATTCTGCACCGGGTAATTGATGCACTTCTTGCAGCTCTTCCTCTGGGTGTACGCTTTTGAGTTTTGCTGCTTCAGCAACTGCAAGGGCTGGGAAGTTTTGTAAAGGAAAGAAAACCGAAAGCTGAGCGTTTTTCCATGGCATCCCATTGCTGCAAATGTCACTGTGATGTTGCCTGAAGACCAGGTACCGTGAAAAGGAGCAGAATTAATCTCAGGGCTGAAGAAATTGGAATGAAGATGAGAGCGAAGGGATTTGAGCTGCTCAGGTTAATGCCAGGCAGATTTCAATACGATCTGATTGCGGCCTGCAATAAATTCATCCATGGGATGGATGCATCCTGAGCACGGATACACAGCGAACGCCGGGCTGGGTAGAGAGCAGAGGATGAACTGCAGTGGAGAAACAAAAGGCACTTTTCTCACAAGGGCTGCGGTTAGGCACTGGGAACCCCCTCCCTCGGTTTCTGCGGAGGAAAAGGGGAAGTTTCTGAGAAGAAGAGGCTTCACTCCACCACGAGCTGTTGGCGGCCCCACGGGCAGCTGGGCCAAGGGGAAAGAACGTGGTTTAGGAGAAACGAACCTGAGAACTTCTGGTTCTTCAACAGCCTTGGAGAAGCTGCCTGCCAGGGCTGCGGGGATGGATGTGACACAACCCAAAGTCGTGTGCTCCTCCATGGACTGGACAGCTTCACTGCTGGAGGTATCCATTGCACAGCACACGGCTTGGATCTCACCCTCCTGGATCTGAGTGCATCTGGAGCTCAAAACATGTCTACAAAACGTATCTACAGAACATAACTACAACATTCAGCCTCCACCCCAGTACCCTCCCCTTCTCGCGTTGGAGGAGATGGCAGAAGAGCGCTCACAGTAGAAACACATTTATTCACTCTAAGAAACGCCTGCATGTTACAAAAATAAAAATGTACAGCTATTATCACGAAACCCACTTCTTTGTGTGTGTGCATAAGTTAGTGCTTTGACAAACGAACACAAAACCTGTATGTACAGTTCCAGTTGGGCCCTCTCCATCAGCTCTCCACCTGAGCCGCGTCGAGGAGAACCTCTGGGACCCCAATAGCAGTGGTGGTGGTGAGAGGGGGGAGTGCCAACGGGGCAAAGGAGAGAGCTGGCAGCGTGGTTTATTGAGTTACTCAGAGCACGTGGCTCAGTGCTCACACTGCTCCGGGGCAATGGTGGGTGAGCAGCTGAGATCTGGCCCAGAGAAAGGTTCATAGCAGCCCAGCACTTCACTTGGATTCATGGATGTGGCTCTGGGCAGCCTGGTCTGGTGGTTGGTGACCCTGCACACAGCAGGGGGTTGGAACAAGATGATCCTTGTGGTCCTTTTCAACCCTTTCTATGATTCTGTGATTATTATTTGTCTCCCCTCAGTGACTGTAACCTTTCCCATGAAGCTCCAGGGGGAGAAAAAGGTGCAATGCCCATCTTAACCCAACCCCCCTAGCAATCCTCTCCTGGATGAGATGACTCACCCTACAAATGCTGTTTTTCTTTGCTGATGGTGCTCAGCGTGGAGACAGTCCTCTCCTTTGTCTTCTGTGGCTGTGATATTGTGGGTCAGGACGAGAGCCCTCCATGGGACCACAATTCCACCCAGCTGAGACCACAGGAATGTCCGAGTTATTTCTTTATCTCCGTGTCCTTACCCCCACCAAGCCACTTCATAGGCAGGAGGGATGGGAGAAACTAAGAGGTCTGAGGAATCAGTCTAAACTGGGACCAAAAGTGTTTGTCTAACCCTAAAATAGAGCCCGGGCCGTTTTTATGAAATAGGACTCAACCAGTTCTGCAGAAGGAGCAATTTTCATTTTTGGGGGTGAGGAATCAGCATCCTCGTGGCAGGGCTGGGCCAGGAAACTGGGCTCTGCAGTTCTTAACCCAGCAATGGGAGAGAGAAGGGCCACGCAGACCTTCTGGTGGGGGGTTTGGTGGCTCTTTCCTCCAGCTGACTTTGAACTGGAGGGGACGCAAGCCCACATCCACACAGGGCTGGGGTTAAGCTCAGCACCGTGTTTGTAGGCATGGCTCCCAAAAGCAGAGTCAGCACTGCCATATTTCCCTGTATTTTCCTGTCACTATGGGATATGTCAAGTGTCTCCAAGTGGGACAATCATAGAATCATAGAACCCTTAGAGTTGGGAAGGACCTCTAAAGGCCATCCAGTCCAACTTCACTGCAATGAACAGAGACATGGACAGGTAGATCAGGTTGCCCAGGGCCTGATCCAGCCTCGCCTTGAAAGTCTCCAGGGATGGAGCATCCACCACATCTCTGAGCAACGATGGGGAATAGTGATAGGATGCATCAATACTGAACCGATGGAATGGGCAATGCTCTTCACCACTTTGCTGGCACCATGAGATGCCTGTAAGATGATGAAAAACAAGGCACAAAGAGCTCACCCTCACTTTCACAGAGCTGGAGGCGACTGTTAAAGGCAGCAGCACAGAGAGAGCTACTGGTTCCTACAAGCTTTTCAGACATGAATGTTGCTGTTGGGAAACACCAGTGGTTCTCGGCGATGTTGACCTCACTGGAGAAATCGGGGACCAGCTTGATAGTATCAGTACCTCCCAGTGGGATGGGGAGTGCCCCCACCAGCACCCCTTTTGATGGGAATCCTTCAGAAAGGGGCTGGAGCTGGGAGAGCATTAGCTCTGAATGGAGGTGGTGACGAGGTGGGGGTCAATCTCTTCTCCCAGGTAACAGCGATAGGATGAGAGGCGACGGCCTCAAGCTGCACCAGGGAGGTGCCAGGTCTCCATCCCTGGAGGTGCTCAGCAAAGGGGCACACGGGGCACTGAGGGCCGTGGTGGGGTGGGCTGGGGTTGGAACCGGGGATCTTGGAGGGCTCTTCCAAACCTTCATGATTCCAAGATTATTTCCCCAGGGATGCGAAGCAGCGGGCGCCCGGTCCCCGCCGCAGGCAGTGTTTGCACTCGACCTTTTATCAACCTGTTTATCACAACCACAGCTGACACTCCCCGTGAATCAAAACTCTTTTTTCCCATGCCAAGGCATGGAAAGACTTCTGATAAACGCACGCTCCTTATGTGCCAGGCAACTCGGAGGAAAGCAGACCGATTTCTCTATGGGGCTTTTTTTGCACGCAGCGTTTTCTTCTTTAGAAAACAGTCTGAGGCATCCAGGGTGTGAATTTTAGCAGATTTTGCAACCACGCTGGAAGGTCAGCCAGGCTGACCGCTGGGGAGGGGCCACATGTTGATGGACAGGCAGGGAAAGAGGCAGAGGGACGGTGCCTGTCCCTGTCACCGCGGTGTCACCTCCCTGAAAATGCATGCCACAGACAGCAATACTCATGGGAGCCAAGCACTGCAAACACCATAGGCCTCTGGCCCTGAAGCATCCTCACCTCCCATCACACGTGGGATGAACCCTTCCACTGCCACAGAGTGGGGCAGAGCTAGGATTTCACTTCCTTGGACGTCGTGTCCGTGTCATTGCTGGTTCCCAGGGGACCGTTGGGCACAGACCCCATTGCCATCTCATTTTGAGGCTTCCACGGGATTTTGTTGCCTGTGAGCTTCATAAATCTTTGTCCTGCTAAGAAATACAGTACGGGATCCAAGCAGCTGTTGGTGCTGGCCAGGGGCCGGGTCACCTTATAGGCTAAATTTATAGCATTGAGGGTCTGACAGCTCAAATCCCAGCTCCGGAAGGAGTAGTACAAGGAACGGGTGACGTGGAAAGGAAGAAAGCAAACGCTGAAGACCACGAGGACAATGATTATCATCTTGACCGACTTCTTTTTGGATCGGGAGAGCCGGGACATGCCCCGTGTGGGCTGCAACAGCCTGCGGGCCATGAGGCAGTAGCAGACGATGATGATGAGGAAGGGGATGCAGAAGAGAAGCACCATCATCACCGAGCTGTAAATGACAAACTGGCCAAAGAGGTCTTTGCTGGATGTGTCGTGGCAGGTGATGGTGCCACGTCTGGTGCTGGTGGTGACAAAGAAGAGAACGGGCAACTGGCAAACCACGGTCACCACCCAGATGATGACAGACACCCTACGGGCGTAGCGGACGTGTCCCCACTGCAGGGACTTCAGCGGGTAGCAGATGCCCAGGAAGCGATGGATGCTGATGCAGAGGAGGAAGAGGATGCTGCAGTAGAGGTTGGTGTAAAACAAGAAGCGGACTATCTTGCACAAACCCACTCCGAAGGGCCAGTTGTCCCCCATGGCGTAGTAATACACCAGGAGGGGCAGGGAGACCACGTAGAGCGTGTCGGACACGGCCAGGTTGAACATGTATGTGGTGGAGGCATTCCAGGTCTTGATCCTAAAGATGAAGCCATAAAGGGCCAGCAGGTTGAGGAAGAGCCCCACCACACACACGATGCCATAGGAGACAGGCAGCAGGACGTACTTGAAGTCCTCATCAAACACACACCTGTAGGTGTTGTTGTCAGCATTGCCTGCAACAAAGGAGCTGTTGATGACTCTGGTCCAGGCTGGAGGAGTTGATAGGTTCGCCATCACCCTACGGGGAAGGAAAGAGGCTGTAAGAAGGTGAGAAACCCCTGGTAGAGTTGACTTAGATAAGGAAAATCCAGTGCTGCAGCTGCTGTATTTACACTCCTGATGATGTTGCCATCAACCACCCAACGTCCACCCAACAGCTATGGACAGACGTAGCCCACAGGTGTGGCTCACAGCCTGACCAGCACTGCCAGCTCAGTGCAGGTGACAATGATTGAGAGGTGGCACGCACTCATGCCAGCACAGTGCATCCCCATGGGACCTCACCACTGGGCGCTGATGTGAGCAGCAGCCCTGAGTGTGGAGGACTTAGGGTTGAGCGCATAAAAGGAGTCTTATTTATCCTCATTTTGCATCTGGGGCACAGAGGGGTAACCAAGGTTGCCCAAGGAGGCTGTGGATGCCCCATCCCTGCAGGCATTCAAGGCCAGGCTGGATGTGGCTCTGGGCAGCCTGGGCTGCTGCTTGGCGACCTGCACACAGCAGGGCTTGGAGCTGGATGAGCATTGAGCTCCTTTGCAACCCAGGCCACTCTGTCATTCTGTGATTATTAATGGAAGGGGTAGGAATCAGAGGATCTTTAAGGTCCTCCCCAATCCAAGCCATTCTATGGGTCTGTGACTTGTCTCGAACAAATCCCAGCTGCCCCAAGCTGCCCTTCTCACCAGGGCCAAGCAGAAATTGTCTCCTGTGCTACAGAACAGCAAAGATCCTCCTTTCTGTGCTCAACCACCCACAGTGGCTACACACGGGAACGAGCAGCTGATAGGAAAGAAATGGACTAGAAAGAGTGTCTGCAGACACACAGGGTCTGGCACTGTCTGTGCCAGGAGGAACAAGGGCCCCTTTGTGCCCACGACCCGACCGACACACGATCGCCCAGCCAGCTCGTCAGCTAGGAATCAAATTAAAATGGATTTGCCTCATTTCCCATCAAACAAACCTGGCTGACCTCCGGTGAAGCAATGGGCTGAGCTCTGTGCTGCTGCACCATTAGAGGGAGAAGGGGTTATGGGGGATGCAACCACAGCAGGAGCTCAGAGAGCAGAATTTGGGTGAAAAGAGCTGGGATGACGGCGTCCTTTATCTGAGCATGAGGGATCAGAGAACCACAGAATCACAGAATCACTGCAGTTGGAAGCACCCCCAAAAGGCCATTGGGTCCCACTGCCTGCAGTGCACGGGGACACCCACAGCTCCATCAGTGCTCGCAGCCTGACCTCGAGGGCCTGCAGGGCAGCACCACCTCACAGCCCTTATTGTGAAGACCCCATCTTCCAGCTCCCAGCCCTATTCCCACCTCCCTGCAGGGTCCCACAACCCCAACTAGAAATCTCAACAACGCATTGGTGGGCGTCTGTGAGCTGAGGAGGGGGCTGTGCCAATCTGCACATCTCCTGCCTCGGGAAAACGAGCAAATAGAGCCCTGGGGTTGGCAACCAAAGACAGAACCCTGCTCACAAGGCAGCCTTGTCCCTGCAGTCACGCTCTCACTTTGCTTCCTTCTTTTTTTTCTCTCTTTTCATGTTTTTTTCCTCCTCAATTTTGCCCAGAATTCCATGAACAGAACCCACTGTGTCCGTCAGGGCCGTGGCTGCTCTCCAGCCTTGTGCCAAAGCCCCTTTGCATCCGCAGCGAGTGGGTGGCAGGGGACACACATCCAACCCGGGGGGGGGACAATGGGAGGGAGAAAGCAATGGAAATAACTGAAGGAAAAATCCTTCAGTGACAACCAAAAGCAAACCCACCCCAATGCTCTGGGGAGGAGCAGCTGCTGCACCAGCTCTCCTGGCCCTTCCTGAGATCGTGGCAGGAGGATTTCTTTCTTGCAGTTGACCTTGCACAGCTTTCCAGGTGTCCTCATGCACAGCACCCTCAGGGCATCGCCCTGCCTGGCTTCCTCCATGCAGGGGTCTTAGAACCACAGAATATTCCAAGTTGGAAGGGACCATAAGGATCATGGAGTCCAACCCCTGGCACCACACGAGAACCACCCAAAAATCAGGCCTTATGTGTGAGAGCATTGCCCGGTCTCAATGAAACTGGAGACACAGCTGGCTCTCTTTGTAGGCATGGCTTCATCCATGGATGGAGCTGAGGTTTGGGCACCCAGAGCTGGTCTGGATCCACCCATGCATGGGAACCCAGTGGCACGTTGTCACTGTGATCCCATCTGCATGGGCATACAGACACCCGAGGGCACAGCCATGTGATGCCCACATCCCAAAATGCTCCTGTAACAGGATCCACCTCAGCAGGGAACAGTGAGTCCCATCGACTGGAGGGGGCTGTCACCAAAAGAGGGCACATGCCAAGGTCACGGGCACCCAAGGGACACACAGGAGTGCTGGGTTGGACATGAATCACTGAATGGCTCGGGTTGGGAGGGATCCCCAAGTCCAAGCCCCATGCTGTGGGCAGGGTTGCTGATCACCACACCAGGCATTGGAGCAGAGAGCCCAGGGCCCCCTCCAACCCACTCCTCAACTCACCAAATCCCAATTCCAGGCCCCTTTCTCAGCCTTCACATTGCTCTCCCATCAAATTTCATACCCAAGTCACCAAAGCAAGTCAGCTGTGGCCATGGTGGGGTTGAATGGGCCGTCCCTGGTAATTAATGGGGATCCACTCCTTGGCAGAGCCCCTTGCATCTGCTGGTGCCTCCTCTGGCACAAGCACCATTTGTGCCGGAGGACAAAACCACCCTCCATTTACTGCATATTTCCTGATGGCTCCTTTGCAAAGGCCACAAGGACAGCGTGGGTGTTTTCCCTGCCCTAATTGCACGCGTTCCATCGACTCATCAAAATCCCTGCGCCGGATCAGGAGCTGCTCAAGACGTCGGGAAGAGAACAACCCAGCATCATCTGAGGGCAGTGAAAATCCTCCGTAACCCAAAGGAAACAGCAGATGGTACTGAGCCTGCATGGCCAGGAGAGGGGAGCACGCTGAAACCAGAGCCTCACAAACCGGCGTGCTTTTCATCTGCCCTTTCCAAGCAGCTCTGTTTCCCTCCAGGACGGCTCCATAGAGGCTAAGCTTCCTCCTTCTCCTCCTCCTCCTGTGCACACGGTGCTGCCAGGCTCAGTGTTTCATAGAATGACAGAATGGCCTGGGTTGCAAAGGAGCACAGCGCTCATCCACCTCCAAGCCCTGCTGTGTGCAGGTCGCCAAGCAGCAGCCCAGGCTGCCCAGAGCCACATCCAGCCTGGCCTTGAATGCCTGCAGGGATGGGGCATCCACAGCCTCCTTGGGCAACCTGTGCCAGTGCCTCACCACCCTCTGCCTCCAAAACTTCCTCCTCACATCCAACCCAAACCTCCCCTGTCTCACTTTAAAACCATTCCCCCTTCCATTTTGCCTGCCCCATCCCTTCCCAACCTCCTGCAAAAAGCTTGCAGGGAACCCCCCCAATAAATCCCCTGAATCCACACAGATCTGAATCTATCCCTCTTGAGCCTCTGCTTCTTGCGGTCCCAACACCTCCCACCCTCATCCGCAGCGCATTACAGCCCCAATTAACCACAGCCAAACGAGCAACAAGTCATTAAACCCAACAGAACACGCGCTTACGCATAATTCAAGCTGCCTTCGTTGGGCTGGCCCTGCTCCCAGCAATTTGGGTGGAGGCAAACAGCACCTGGCCCATATTTAATCCTTTGGTCGCCACTCCAAGCGCTTCCCTTGGAAGGGATCACCCATGGAGTCCAGCTCAATGATCCCAACGGCTCCCTTCTATCTCAGGGTGTTGTTTGATTCTACTAACGTGACTTCAGGTTGGGAGATGACACAGCTGTTGGGCTCAACCCAAAGCACGGGCTGAACCCCAGCACGGGGCGCACACCGACCTACGCGGCAGCAAAAGGGGTCTGCAGCTCATCCCTCCCAAACTGGGGATGCTCAGGGTGAAGAAGGGTTGAATGCTGGCTTCTCTCCTCACTCCGCACCCCGCCGGCTGAGGGCCACAGGGCACGGCTCCATTCACAAGGGCGTAAATGAGGAATTGAGGAAGGCGCCCGGCTGCAGTGCCATCGCTCCGTCTCTCAGGGCAGCAGCCCCGCCGCTGCTCGCATAGGAAGGCAGCGGCTCGCCAAACGCGTTTTGCAAGAAGAGGCGATAAGAAAACCGAAGGAGAAACAGCGCTGAGATGCTTCGCCCCCAAAGCCCCCTCTCTTCCCCTCTCCCAACTCCACCGCCCCGCTCCCAACGCCGCGGCTCGGAGGTGCTTTCGGAAGTGCCGAAAAGAATTAAAAGGCGTCCAAAAAGAAAGGTGAGGAGGGAGCAAAGAGAAGGAAAAGACCCCCAAAGAGACGGCGGAGGGGGCGGCGGGATGCAGCGTGGAGGAGGAAAAGCCGCGGTGAATGGGAAGAGGGCACCCCGAGAGCTGCGGATGGGGAAATGCCGTAGAGAGCCCCGTCACCCCCCCGGGGAGCGGAGGGACGGAGGGTAAAAGAGTTTCCAGCGGCTTAACGCGGTGAGCAATGGGGCAGAAAGCAGCAGCGGAACCCCGAGCCGTCCGCACCGCGCCCGCGTAGCCCTCCCGCTGCGGTCTTTGGATCCGTTTCGGGGGGGTTGGAGGCATTTTTTAGTTCCTTTGCTTAATAGGAACGTCCTCCTCCCCCGGATCGGTGCCGGCTGTCCCCGCTCACCGGGCCGGGCCGATCCGTTCCGCTCCCCCCGCAGCTCTCCGCTCATACCCCGCGTTGCGCTCCCACCGCCTGCGGCTGCAGCGCGGCTCCCGGCGGCAGCGTGGGGACGGACGGGGCGGATCTGGGGCTGCACCGCCCTCCCCTCGGGGTTAAGGGTGGGATCGGGAACGGGGCCAGGTTCCCCGCCCAGGGAATAGGGATGGCGAGGTCGGGACCGGAGACGGGAGCAGCTCCAGACCGCCCCCGTGAGGGGTTGGAAGGGGATTTGGGGTCGGAGGCGGACCTTCCCCCTACCAGCCCCTCCCCCCCCCCCCCCCGCCGCTTTCCCCTCCAACGATGAGACCGTGGATAGGGTCAAGGCTGAGATTCCTTCCCCCAGTGACGGAACCATGAATAGGACGGGAGTTGGAATCCCTCGGCGATGGAACCGGAGCTGTGGCTGGGATTGGAACTCCCCCCCCTCGCCCACCATCCTCCCAAACAACGGGACCATAGATAGGACCAGGGCTGAGGTTAGGGATGAACCCTCCCAGTGATGGGACCATGGATGAGACTGGGGATGGGACAGGAGTTGGACCTCCTCAGTGAGGGAATTGGAGCTGAAAGTAGGGATAGACCTCCCCCAGTGATGGGCCCAAAGTTATATCTCTCTCCCCCTCACCTATGGAACCACAGGTGGGGCTGGGACGAGGCTCCCCAGGGATGGGAGCAAGGCTGAACTCACAAGCATTGCTCTGATGGGATTACAGCAGGGATGAGAGGTGGATCCCTTTCCAATGACAGCACCATAGGTGGACTGAAGCTGGGACTAGAGCAGAAAATCCACTTGGTGGTGAGACGTTGGTGATGAGACCACGGATGGGGCTGGGGCTGGGACTGGAGTTGGAGCTGGACCTCCCTCTGCAGGGTGATACGACCATGAATGGGACCAGGGCTGGATCCCTCCAATGGTAGAACTGGGATTGAAATTGTCTCCCAGTTGCTACTCCAGTGATGGCACCACAGCCAAGACCAGAGCTGGACCCCCACTCTAATGATGGAACCATAGATGGGATCAGGGCTGGGATCAGAGCAGGATCCCATCCCTTCTTGCTGTGGCCATTGGTGGTCCCACTCAGACCACTTTCCGTGGTGATGGGACCATGGACAGAATTGGAAATGGGACTGGAACTGGACTTCTCCAGGATGATAGGGACATTGGTGGAACCAAGGCTAGGAGTGTGGGTGGAAGGGACTGATGCTGAAGTCTGAGCTGGACACCAACCAGGATGATGGGACTATGAACAGGACCAGGGCTGGGACCAGAAGAACAGTGATGGGACAACGGATGGAACTGGGGCAAGGATGGAGCAGGACTTTGCACCTCTGTAATGAACGAGAACAAGGCTGGGACTGCAGCTGGAAATCTCTCTACTCCCGTGCTGGGACCACGGGTAGGACTGGGGTCAGATCTTTTCTGATGATGAGATCAGGGACAAGATCAGGTCTGGGGCCATGTCACTGTCCCACCCAGTGATGGGACCATGATGGCCCTGGGGACCCGCCTTACACCCTGGGGATGCTCCAGAACTAGAGTCAGCCCAGGGCACGGAGCAACCCCATTGGGTGAAGGAATCCCAAGATCAGACCTGGAGGGGAAAAAAGGGCCTGAAACCATCCAAAGGAGCACAGCCAGGGCCTGGCAGCTGCCTCAGCCCCCCATGTATGGGACCCTGTCCCACGATAGATGTCCCCAAGCTGTGCCCCAATGGGTGCTGGTGCAGCATGGCCCTGCCACGAGCCAGCTGTGTCTCTATGGGAAGTGAAGGGATGGGGAACGTGATGTGACTTTGAGGCCATCTGGGCTCTAATTTTAGCAACGCTGGTGTTCTCAGGAGCAGTTCCCAAACACAGGTCCTGTCCTGCAGAGGGCTGCAGACCCATTGAAACCCCTCTGGGAAGCAGAGAGTCCACAGGAACTTGCAGGCAAATCAGGCTGTGCTGTAGAAGAGAATTCCTTCAAGGTTCCTGAATTGGAAATGTTGATTTTGGGTGCAGTGGAAGCAAATTTGGGGATCGCATCATCTGTGTCCTCCAGCCACATTCTGGAGATGTTCTGGGCTCTGTCGTGGCATGAAACAACCCCCAAGAAAACCTGCAGAAAGCTTTGGAGGATCAGCACTGGGTTTGTGCCCTGCAGAGCGCCGGATGCCTGAGTGAGACCAGCCAGGTCCAGCTCTGCCTTCCCATGGACATTACTCACCTGGGGCAAAAACCCAGACAAATTTGGCACGCTGGGTGGCTTCTGTGTAGGGTAGAGCCATGCAAAAGGACATGCTGAGATGTCTGCAGGTGGTCCCATGGTATTTCACTGCTGTGAGCACAAAGTGAGCCCCAGCGCTGCCCTCTGCATTCTCCATCTGCACCCACGGCTGGAAGGCAGATCCTCCTCCTGCACCTGAGTCCACTCCTGCGTTGGCTCCCCACATCTGCAAGCAACCTTCCTGGAGGAGGCCGGGATGACCGTAAAGCAGGCAGAAGGGGGAAACAAGCTGATGGCCATCTATTATTTAGAGGCTTTTCAGCAGTGGTGGCTGCTGCGGAGGCATTATGAGGATACGAGCATTTGGAGCCGAGCAACCGCTGCCGGCCCTCTGTGCCAAAAAAACAGCCTGTTTCCTTCTTCTGATGTCATTTGTTTGAGGAGGGAAAACAATGCATCACAGCACAGCTATTTGAGCCTGATAAGGGAGGAAGGCCAGGCCTGGTGTTTGGAGGGGGGGGAAAGCTGGGACGGAGCCCCTGAGTGAGGTTTTGGAGGGTGGATTTATTCTGCTGGGACAGCAGTGAGCTCGGGAAGGGCAGTGATGTGCTGTGTTAAGCCTGGCTCTCTGGGATTTAATTAATCCAGCCTGGCTTGGCTCTGAGATAGCTTCACAGCTCTAATAGCACCCACGGGCAGAGTGAGCTGTTGGTGCCCAACAGAGCATGGTGGTGTGGATGTGGATGTGGATGATGTGGATGTGGATGTGGATGTTGTGCTCCACTCCATTGCTCCCACCCCTGCCTAATGACGGTGCCACCCCATCATCAGCCTCCAAAGCCATCAGTATCTCTCCTTCCAAAGGGATTGGTGCACCACAGCCAGAGATATTCCAGCTTTGGCCTATGGGCATTGCTGCTCCCAGCTCTGGGCTTGGGCAGCTCTTCCATCGTGAGATTCTATGCTTCCTTGATTGTATGAGACAAAGCCAGGCAGTTCCAGGCACGTTTCTCATGCTGAGGAGTGGTTTGTTGTGGACATGGCTGGATGCAGGGTCAGCTCAGCAGCTTGGTTAATGACCAAGAGGAGGTGGTGTGAAATCCAGCCAGCAGATTGGTGTCTTTTTTGAGTCTGGATGAAACCCGTTCAGTGTTCATCGAGAAAGCTTTCCCAGCTTTGCTGCCCGGTGCCTTTCCTTCCACTGCTTTGGTCTTTTCACACTTTTCCACTCATTTGGGTGCAGAAGAGATAAGAGGAGGGTTGCCACCTTCTGAGACCTCGTGGCTCTCTCCAATGATTTGACAGGACGTTGTGGTGAGGCGGTGGTCGGCCTCTGCCCCTGGGTTTCAGCAGTAGGATGAGAGGCAATGGCCTCATGTTGCACCAGGGGAGGTCAGGTTGGATATTAGGAAAATTTGTTCTCTGAAGGAGTGCTGATGCAGTGGCACAGCTGCCCAGAGAGTGGGGATCACCACCCTCGGGGGTGTTCCAGAACCATGGGGATGTGGCACTGAGGGATGTGGGCAGTGGGCATGGTGGGGTGTGCTGGGGTTGGCCTTGGGGACCTTGGAGATCTTCTCCAACCTACATGATTCTGGGATTACGTCCCCAGGCTCCGTGTGCTCTCTAACCCACCCTGCTCATCTCCACCCTTTTTGTGCAGGAGCACTGGCAGAGGATGGCCACCCCATGCCCAGACAGGACAGAGAGGATCCAACCACCCCTAAAAATCCCCATTTACCATTTCCAGAGCCTCCAAAGCAGCTTACATGAGCCAAACAGAGGCAGATGTTACAAATCCAGATACAAAGCAATGAATGATTTGTACAGCTGCAACTGCACGTCTGAGCCGAGCAGCAATACTCATTAGAGAGGAGCTGGCCCTCAGCCCCACATTTCTCTTAATGTCTCCATTTTTCTCTGCTTTGGCAATAACACAGGTTTCTAAGACGCTCTCAAAACATTTCCATGTTGTCCAGCAGGGAGGAATGCAGTTGTGTGTGGGGTTACAGGAACAGGAGGAACAGGAAGGCTGAAGGGCAGCGTCACCATCACTGCTGCTGGCTGTGCCCAGCTCAGAGCGTCTCCATGGGTGCAGGGAGGTCATAGAGGGATAAAGAGATGGGGAAGGGTCTGAATGGGCAGATATGTGAGGAGGGGCTGAGGGCCCTTGGGTTGCTTGGCCCAGAGAAGAGGAGGATGGGGAGAGGCCTCATGGTAGCACTGCAGCTCCTCGTGGTCCTATTGATCCTCATGGCCTCACTGCTCCTCACGGCCCTACAGCTCCGTCATGGTGGCCCTGTAATTCCTCACAGCAGCCCTACAGCTCTTCATGATAACCCTACATCTCCATCATGGCAACCCTACAGCTCCCTTATGGTGGCCCTACAGCTCCTAGTGGTCCTACATCTCCATCATGGCAACCCTACAGCTCTTCATGATGGCCCTTCTGCTCCTCATGGCAACCCTACATCTCCATCGTGGCAAACCTACAGCTCCTCGTGGCAACCCTACGGCTCTTCATGGTGGCTTTGCAGCTCTTCATGGCGACCCAACAGCTCCTCACGGGGCCATGGAGGGACAATCCAGTTGGACAACAGAATGTCAGCCATGGTGGGGAACCCTAATGGGCTGTGCAAGGGTTGAGATCAGTACCCACTGGCAACACGCAGGGTGACTTTCCCAGTGTGAAGCCCAGCAGAAAAGAGGCACTGATAGGAGAAAAGGGCTCAGGGGTGGGATCTGGGGCTGGAAAAGCACCACAAACCAGTCCCTCTGAGCACTGTGTGCAGGAGGCAGAGGGACTCGACCTTTCCCACACCACTGCAGCACAGAATTGTGTCTTTTCTCACCTGGACATCTATTTTTACTCTTCTGCAGAAGATGGGGTTTTGGTTTCCTGCCCACTCAAGATGTGCAGAGTCTCAGCCATCTTCTTCCACCACCTAAGGGACTTTAGGAGGGGGCACAGGGACAGAGGTGGGGACAGAGCTGTGGTGTCCTGAGGGCTCCTGGAGACCCCCCTAGCCTCTGGTCATGCTGGAAACCAAGGGATCTACCCTCTCTTCATGCAGAAAAACCCATGTAAGCTCTGATCTATTCATTATTCCTCCCCATCTCTCAGCTGCCAGCTTTCTGCATGGCACTAGCAAACTGCACGAGCATCCCCTTCCCACAGGGAGATGCTTGCAGTGGATTTGGGGCTGCAGCGGCCTCCCAGGTGGAGCAGAAGCACAAGGATGCCTTTGTGGCTGACAGCTTTGCTTTGTAAAACCCTTAAATAAGCGGCCTGTTGGGGCAGGCGTGTTAAAATTAACACATTGGTATGGCCTACGTGTGCTGCGGGCTGCCTGGAAAATGGTCAGTAAGACTGAGGGTTGAAAATCAAACTAAAAACACACTGCAGTAGCAGTGAGGTCTTATCTGGAAACTGGTTTTGAGGGGCTTTGAGTAGAAGAGGGGTCTGGGGGGAGAGCTGCTGCCCTGGGGACAGTGATGCTGCTGGAAGGGGTTTTACAGAGATCCTGGCAGCACTGAGAGGAACAAGAGAGGCGTAGAGCATGTGCTCTGAAACTGAGCCCTGCTAAAAACAGCAGCAGTGACTGTACACTCTGTGGTCTGTGCTCAAAGCAGTGCCCGAGGAGAAGCTGCTTCCCAAAGGACTCATTTCTCCATCTGCAGAACCTGAGAAGGGCACGGGCCCCTGACAGCAGCGTGTGGAGGCACACATGTGAGCCCAGGCTGCAGGGGTCTGCTCCCCTCTGCTCACCACGAGGGGATTCACAGCACAGGTCCCACCCTGGAATCCCTTTGTTCCCAAAAAAATAAACAGCTGTTCTCCATACAGGGCTTTTGAATGGATTTCCTTCCCCTCCTGCTCCAAAATAACCCGTGTGTCCTTGGGGATATCCATGCTGAGCCAGGGCACAGGGCTGGATGGGCAGAGGGACACACAGACACCGGATGGAACGCAGGAGGCCCTGCCCAGGGAGTGGGATCTCCATCCCTAGAGGTGTCCCAGGGGTACAGGGATGTGGCACTGAGGGATGTGAGCAGTGGGCATGGTGAGGTGGGTTGGGGCTGGACGTGGGGATCTTGGATGTCTTTTGCAACCTGAATGACTCTCTCTGCTTTCTGCAGCTCTATGAGTTGGAGGATGACCCTCGTCCAGCTTGGCCGAGGAGACGGTCACCTAAATCAAGGTTTCCCCAGGGTGGAAGGAGCTCACCAAGTCAAACTTCAGGCTCCAAGCTGAGAGGGGCTGGACGTTAGGAAATACTGCTTTTCTGAAGGAATGGTCAGGCACTGGAAGGGGCTGCCAGGGAGGTGGTGGAGTCACCGAGCCTGGAGGTGTTCAAGGAGCAGTTGGATTTTGTGTTGAGGGACGTGGTTTAGTGAGAGCTATTGGTGATGGGTGGATGGTTGGACTGGATGATCTTGAAGGTCTTTTCCAACCCTGGTGATTTTGTGATTCTGTGATTCTGTGAATGCTCTGACTTGGTGAGGGATTCCCCAAACCCAAGGACCCATCCTGCTTCCTGCTCTTCAGAAAAGAGTGGGTTCATGGCCTTCTCGTGCACACGCATCATCCCCATAGCAGCATCCCCATGGAGACAAACCCCATTTGAAGCGTGAGGGTCACCCCAATCAAGAATCATAGAATTCTTGATAGAAAGAACTTGATAAGTTCTGTACAAAGAGAGTGGTGAGGGGCTGGAACAGCTGCCCAGAGAGGCTGTGATGCCCCGTCCATCCCTGGAGGTGTTCAAGGCCAGGTTGGATGGGGCCCTGGGCAGCCTGGGCTGCTGTGAGATGGGGAGGTTGGTGGCCCTGCATTGGTGGGGGGTTGGAGCTTCGTGATCTTTGAGGTCCTTTCCAACCCAAGCCATTCTGTGATTCTGTGATTCTATGATAGAACCATATGGTGATTTCCCATTTAACATCAATCAAACCCAACTTGAGAGGTGAAGCCGGTGCGCAGACCACAGAGCTCTGTGGCTGGGATGGGATCACAGCGCTTTGGGAGCTGGAAATCCAACCTACACTGATTTATTGGGGATGGGAGGAAGCATGGGGTGACGGCTGTGTGCTCCCTCAGCATGGTTTTCTTGATGCCCATTTTCCTGCACCCATCATTTTCCAGCACTCCCCCGAACCGAGGCCGGCCCAAAGGCTCGCTCACAGCCCGTGTCCTTGTCAGAGGGCCAATATTCTTATCTCAAGCCTGGCTGGCTTTTCTTCCTTGGATCTTTGCCACCGCAGCTAAAATAACTCTCTCACCCCTCCCCTCTTGCAAAGGTCACGTTCCAGGGATGAATCCGGAGCCTCCCGGGCTGGATTCTGGGCTTAGGATCATGGATGGGGCCAACAAGGATCCAGAGCGTCGCGGTTCTTGATGTGTGCCCACAGTGCTGGCGGTGCCCTGGGTGGGAGCAGGCTCAGCACCAGCACTTTGAGTGCCCTCAGCTCTCTGGGAAGCTGAGCACACCTCCATTCCTCCCCGGTCACGCGGTTATTTCCTTGTAGATCCTCCTCCCACCCTTGAGCAGTACTGGAAAGTCCAGATTGGTGAAAACAAGTTTGGAGGCAATAGTTTGTTTAACTGATGGGTACAGTTGGTCTTGTGCTTGTTTTCTTTTTTCTTTTCCACAAACAAGTCTTGAAGTGAAAGGAGAGTTCTTCCAAGCTAAATACGAGTGGGGAGCACTTGAGTGTTTAATGAAGTGGGTATTGGTCAGGACATCACAAAAGGAAAACATAAATCGTGTCTAAGGATGCATGTAGGCAAGGAGGGAGGGAAGGTAAAGAGGAATGAACCCATCGTGCCCGGGTAAAGGGAGTTCTGGCAGCGTGTAACTCATGAAACACGGGTAGAGGGGAGGAGTGCAGGACCTGTAGCAAAGAGGTAGAAACCCTGATAGCAGCATCGTTTTGGCAGGTCGGCTGGAAGAGCAAACCTGAGGCCTCCAGATGTGCAAGCAGCAGCTGGGGATGTGTGTTAACCCAGAAGGACTCCTTCCCTGTGTCCCCAGAGCCACCTGCTGCCACTGGGGCTTTCCCAGGAGAGGTGATGGCGGTGCTCCTTCATCCTCAGAAGGCCAAGGGTTGGGTGATGCTTGACGTTGCACTGCCACTGCTATTTCAGATAAGGGAAATGCTTCCCACCATGAGCAATGTCTGCCATTGGAGGTTAAGAGCCAGCTGGAGAAATCTCCACGCAAACTGATCTGACCCCAGCGCTGCCCAAGCCGTGAGTGGGATGGTGGAGTTGGGATCTCCTGTGCTTCCTCCCAACCTTAGTTATTGCAGCATCTTCTGCTCAGCAGATCCCCACAGACTGAAGTCAGAGTGAAGGTGCAAAGCCACGCCAGCGATGGAGCAGCCCACACCTACCAGGGTTGGGATTTTGGCTGCCACCTGAGTTTTCACCCCTCAACCCTTCATGAAACCAACAGCTTGGACCGACCTCTGTTAGGAAGGCACTGTGTCTTGTGTTAGAGATCCCACTGCCTCCTGCCCGGTTGGTCCTGGTGTTTAACACTGCTTCTTCCCTGCAGTTTCTGCCCCATTCGTGACTGTTTGGTGCTTTGTGCAATCTGAGCTTCACCACCCAGTGAGCAAAGGGCCCTTTGGCACACAGGGTCTCATGCCATGCAAGCCAAATATTCCTCTCCCCTGCAGCAACCAGGGCAGGTCTTTTTGGGAAGGAGAAGCTGAGCTGATCTTTTCCAGGATGAAAATTAAAGGAGTTGAGGGTGATCACAAGCAGAAGCTCCTCAGTCTGTTTCAAGTCAAGGGGAAGGCCCTGAGTTTGCAGTGGAAATGAATTACGCACAAGGTCCCCCATGGAATGTAGATGATGCTTTTGCTCCCAATGGGGCTCATACATTAAGGAGGCTCAGGACAACCTGGGCATATGGGAACTGAATCCACCACTACCATAAAGCTGGGAGCCCACGTGAAAGCTGTACATCAGAATCCACCTCCTCTTGGTTAGAAAACACCACGAGGAAGCCCTTTCCCTCAGCTGAGTGCCTGCAGGTGTTTCCTGGTGTTCTCCCTTTCAGTGAGTCAGCTGTGAGGTGGCCACGGCAAAGCACAGGGATGTGCTTGGAGCCTCAGCGAGGACCAAGAACCTTTATTTTGGAATAAATAGACCATCTGATAAGAAAAACCCAGGAATAGAAATTTAGAAGAGCGAGTATGTGCGGGGGAAATGGACGGAGATTTATCCGCAGATAGGATATTCTCCCTCATCCCTCCAGTTTCCATAGCAGTGAGTCACTCATCTTCCTGCAGCAGGAGGAGCTCCTCCCTCTCTTGGGGAGCCCTCTGGGTCCGTAACGAAGCTGCTGTTTTGGAACACAGTGCCATGCTTCTTCCCGTGTCTGCTGGGCCCAGCAATATATGGCTGGGGACCCCCAGCACCACGGTGATCCTATGCACCGCTGTGGGTCTGCGTTCTGCGTCCCACTGTGGCCATGGGGTGATGGGAACCTGTCAGAGCAGAGGGAAAAGCTGATGGACAGCAATGGGCAGGGCTCACTGCTCGTGCCAACCAGCCCAATACAGCCCCAGGGCAGCATCCACTTGTACCCACAGCTCTGGAATGAGAGGTCTGAGGTCATCTGCCATGGTGAGATGGTCTCCACAGGGAGATGGTCTCCACGGAGGGTCTTATAGGGTTGTGGCTGTAGAGCTTCCAGTTGACTGCCCATCTAAGGAGCCTGCCCTGAAATTCAGCTGCCAAAATAACAGTGGGTGGGTGTGGGGTAGGGATGAAGGAATAGGAGTGTGGGAAAGCCCATGACTCAGTTTCCCCATGGGTTAAAGGTGAATATGACGGAAATATCACACCTGCACACCTCCTCAAGAGCCTGAACCAAAACCACGCTGGTTGGATGAAGCAGAGAGATGTAATTGCATTAGCTAATTACATTTCCACAATGTTTCCCCATTGTTTGCGATGACCAAGGAGACGTTTTCTGCAATATCACCTTTTGTTGGCTCTGCCTCAGCTCTGCACAGAGGAGGGAGCTGCAGGTGGCAGCAATGCAGTGCCCCCACTCCACCAAGTACTGGTGAAGCCCCATGGGATGGGCACCACCCCATCGGGGCCAATTGTGCCCAAGGAAGGCTTGGACATCTCCAAAGAGGGAGACTTATCCCCGTCTCTGGGCTTTGTCCTCACTTATGGAGACATTTTTTCTCCAAATGGAAATTTCCATGTTCCCAATCTGTGATGCTGTTTCTTGCCCCAGCACTGGGACCTCCAAGAACAGCCCAGCTGTTCTTCTGTCTACCCCGTGCCATCTCAGCAAGGACCCCATACTAAAATCCCCCTTTGCAGCTGCACACTGAGCTCTCCACCCCTCCTTGTGTGTCCCCAGCTCCATCCTGGTGACCCTTGCTGGACTCACTCTCCTCAACCTGCTGCCAGGCAGCCCCACACTGGACCCAGTGCCTAGATGGGACATCACCATCACCAAGCAAAGAGCAGGAATCAAAACCTGGTGATGTTAGCTGCCCTCCACGAACACCACTCAAACACCATTGGCTTTCAGTGCTGCAAACACACTCCATTGACCTGAGGACAGCTTGCACCACCTCTCTTCACCTTCAGAGCCCCTTTCCGGCTGACTGCTCCAACCTGACCTGTTCCACTTGTCCTTGCTGAACCCATTTCCTCCAGCAGCTTGGACTGCGACACTTAGCCTGCCCTCCCCAACCTGGTGCTGTTCCTAAGGCACGATCCATCCCACCGTGCAGGTAGTAAAGAGTTACAGGTGTTGTCAAAGGAGAGCTTGAGAGTGCCTTGGTCCTCCAGCCCTCCGTGGAGCGTGCACAAGGAGGTCTCAGAAGGGCTGTCATGGTGGGACATTGCGTCTGCAGCCCGACCTGGGGTTAACTCTTTGCCTCCCCTCGCCTCCCTGCTGTCAGATTTCTTTCCCAAATAACACATTGTGGATCATCAGCTGGCAGGAGAGAGCGAAAATCACTGGGAGTTTACACAAGGGTTAAGATCTGGGTAAGGGTCTGGGTTGGGGAGAGGATCAGGGTGATGGTTATGGTTATGATGATGGATTAAGTTTGGGATTGGGGGTAGGCTCAAGTTTGGAGTTAGGGTTATGGTAGGGTCGGGCTTGGGGTTGGGGTGAAGGCCATGGCTAGAGGTAGGACTGGTGCTGGTGTTTTGGGTTAGCATCAGGGTTAGAGTTGTGGTCAGGGTTAGGGTTAGGCTTGGGGTTGGGGTTAGGTTTGGATCAGGGTTAGCTAGTTCTCCCTGCACTCTGCTTTCTGAGCTTTTTGCAGAGATCCACATCGATGCATTACTTGGGTAGGGGATGCCCACTGTCCCACAGCATGTTAGGGTTGCCCTATCCTGATTTCCCTAGCCATGACCATCCCTATAGACACACACAGGGGCCTTCTAGCTCAAATCCAACTTCTATGGGCATTGTGTCATGATATTTTGGTGTCTGTATGGGTAGATTTAGCCTTGCTCATAGAGGGCAACATCTAGACCATGTTCCTGTGCCACCAGAGTTTAATGACATATTCAGGGTTCCCATGCCCAGGCTGTACTTGGGCGTCCACAAAGGGACAGTGATGGGAGTTTGGACCCATGGGGATGAGTGGAACAGGGGGAGGGCTGACAAAAGCATGGAAAGGGCAAATGGTCACATTTAGTCAGTAAGATCAGAAGGAAATTGGCCAAGAGGGCTTTCCAGCTCCAGACAACACATTTTGCAACAGGAGAAGAGATGCCTGAGAGATGGAAATCACTCCCACATCCTGGCAGGGGTGGCATTCACACCCAAGTGGCATTTTCTCCCTCATACTGGCTTGCAAATACATCTCACCCAGGGTGTGGGGATGCTCTCTGCCTACAATTTCATCTCAGCTTGTATGACCTCAGAGGCTATTCCTGTGCCATGGCCACCAATAGATTTCTCAGGTGCTGTCCCACAGCCTGGAGTTGGCTGATTGAAGGGCATGAGGTCACTCAGGACCTTCCCACATGGCAGGGCTCTCTGCCATGTCCCAGCCTGAGCTGGGATCTACCACCAGCAGCAGCACAGAACACCTGCAGAAGTTTTACTGTCACTTTCTGAAGTTTGTAAGGGGGATGTGCTCATGGGAAAGGCTGAGCTCCCATTGCTGTGCCTGTATTTTCACATTGGGAAGTCAGCATTGTGAGAAATACTGCAGCTGTGGTGATTTGTGGGCAGTACTGGTGGTAGTTGAACAGCTGGACTCGATGGCCTTAGAAGTCTTTTCCAACCTGAATGATTCCATGATTCTACTAAATCACATCATTACAGCCCCAATCTCTTTGCTCAGTGCATGCTCTGCTCCACGAGCATAAAAATACCCAAAGCCATCATGGTTATTTTATTTCACACAGCCCCAGTGTGGCTTTTCTACATGAGTCTTCATCCCCTGGCGTGTTCCAAAGCCTGGCCCTAAGATCAGCACGTTGCTCCCACCTCCTCATGTTGTTTGCAGAGGAAGTTTCTGTTCTGTTCTCACATACCAAGGCTGAGCTCTGAGCCTGGGCCCCCCAGCACCCTCCCCTTTGAAGGAGGGTGCCGGGCCCCTATGTGCAATGGGATAAAATGCTGAGTTTGACTCATGCCATCCTGTCAGCTCCACATCCATTTTCACTTCCTTCCTGGTTTTGATAGAGGTTGGGCACTCCCAAATCCTCCACCCATATGCGAGTAGTGGCCTTTAAGATCTTCATTCATACAGAGACAGGAACATCCAAGGTTTTCAACATACGTGGATGGGCATCCCCAGAATCTCTGTGGATGGACTCATGCAGGGTCTCCAACATACATGGATGGGCACTCCCAAAATCATCACCACACAGGGGTGGGCACCCACACCCCTCTTCATGTCTCCTCCTGCCCATTCAAAGTGGCCCTTTTTTGGAGCAAGATCCCATCAGTGACTGCAGTTCCCAAGAAGATTTCTTAGGAGATTCACTTCTGTTATCTTGCATATACTGGATTTTAACTTGGGTTTTTACTTGGAAGAACCAACTGTGACGGGATTCCTCCCTGTAGGGAAGATTTTGGCTCCTACATCTTCTTACCCAAGAAAGCAAAACCTCGGTGTTTCTTCATTTGTATGACTCTCAATGTAGTATTTAGTGATGAGGTCTCATCCCGTTCATGGGGAAGACTGAAACAGAGGAGAAGGAAGCAGATAGTGGCATCTTAAGGAAGCAGATAGTGGCATCTTAAGGAAGCAGATAGTGACATCTCCAAGATGTGAGAGAGAAAAAAGGATGTGAAAGTCGCTGACTTGCACCATGGAGGTTCTGTGGTTGAAAGTGGTAGCAAATGTATAAGGAAGAAATTCTCCTGATCCAACCTTCACTTCAGTGGTTGAGCAGTGTGCAAAGCATGAGGAAAATGAAAAGGAAATATTGGGCTTGTGGCCACAGTGTTGGCAGAAAACTTGCCATATTTGGTTTGGAGAAGTTGCTGTTCTCCATGGAAACAGGTCCTTGAAGAATCTGAGGCTCCATCCAGACCCATGGCTGAACCACAGCCTGGGCCTCCAAGTCGAATGGTTTGGGGTTGAAAGGGTCTTACATCCCAACAGGACACTGGTTCCTCCTCTCTTCAGCTGCCCAGGGCTGTAGGAAATGAGACAGGGAGGTGAATGAAGAACACAGGTCCTTGTGGATGGAGGTGTGTGTGTGAAAGCAGCAGGGAGAACATCAGTGCCATCATCATCCAGCCCAGGTGGCTCTGGGTTGACATGGCCCTGCACAGCCAAGGACTCCCTTCACCCCGGAGCTTTTCCCACCTCCACAAGACCTCAGCCTTGTTGAGCCCCCAAAACTGCCCTAAGACACATTTCTGACGTGCTCTCCAGGTGGTCGTTCACTTTCTGCCCACAAAGGACTTGCCCTTGGTAGCCCTGGGGATCTGGGAGACCTTTCTCCAGGCAGCCCAGCCCTCCCCAGGCTGTGCCTTTCACACAACACCCACAGATAAAAATACCGATGCTCCAAGCAAGCAGGGATGCACCGGGCAGGGAACAGATAATGCTGTGATGGCAGAAATGTGCCCGAGGGAGCTTCAAGTTACACATTAATGGGGGAGAGCAGTGGTGACGCACGAGTGGGCAGGAGGAGTGCTGGCAGGAGAGCTCAGCCCACACAGAGGGAGTTCTTTACTATGGGAGCGGTGAGGTGCTGGAACAGCTGCCCAGAGAGGCTGTGATGCCCCGTCCATCCCTGGAGGTGTTCAAGGCCAGGTTGGATGGGGCCCTGGGCAGCCTGGGCTGCTGTGAGATGGGGAGGTTGGTGGCCCTGCATTGGTGGGGGTTGGAGCTTCGTGATCCTTGAGGTCCCTTCAACCCAAGCCACTCTATGGTCTATGATTCTATGATAGTGAAGCCCTGTGTCGATGTGCTCCTGCAAAGCCCAGCCCAGCAGATCAAGCATGGGGGATCAGCATGCAGAAGCCGTGTGGTGCAGCTAATAAGGAGGTTTTTCTCTCCGGGTTTGGGTTGGGGTGATGGTGCATTCATGGAAAGACTGTTGGTGGAGTGGTTAGGGCTGCTGCAAGGTGGGTTTTGGCATTGCTACAAAGAGCGGGCATCTGTGAGTTGGGGGAATCCTTTCTGTCTCTTCCCATGGCCACAACAGGCAATGGGAGCAATCCACGACCTGCAGACCTAGTGTTCTTCCCATATCTGTGTAACTCATCTCACACCTTACTGTCCTTTCTATTCTTCCCAGCTCCAAGCTTCTTCTAGCTGTCTCCTGTTGTCTCTTGTTATCCTTTCCTTTGATCCCCTTTTTCTTGATATCCCATCCTTCCTTACAGCCATCGTTTTCTGATGGTCACATCAACCCTTTTGATGAAACCACGCTGCCTGGCAGCCAGAAAACCTCATGTGTGCCAATGGGGTGAGAAAGGCCAGGAGATCAGAGTCAAGTAATGAACATTCGGGAAGGTGAAGGTCGTCTTCATGAAGAACAGCTCCCATAACCAACACCCAGAGCAGCTCAGCAGCTGTGTCCCAACTGAGGACGATGATCACATCCATGCCCACGTCCCATGGAAGAGCTTTGGGGAGCCCAAGAGGCTGTGGATCCTCTTCAACTTCAGGAGAGTTTTTGGATGGCTCTTGGAGACATTTTTTATGTTGCCTCTACTCCTGTGGCAGCCGTGACCTCCTTCCTCCTCCTGCTGTGCTGCTGGTGTAATGCAGAGGACAAAGATCAGGTATGTGTTTAATGAGACCTGAAGGGCAGTCAGAGTCACTCCCACCCAAGGGCTAAAACCCATCACTGGACTTACCTCTCATCTCCTGCAGGTCCTCGCTTTGCCTCTCCCACCTGCTCTCAGTGCATAGGACAGGACATGACACTCATGCCTAGGGGACCTGATTTACACCAGTGGTGGTGTCACCTCCCTTGGAAGCACAAGAAGTCATAGACTCGCAGAATCACCAAGGTTGGAAAAGGTCTCCGAGATTCATCCAGTCCAACTGTATATCACCCAGTCCAACCAGTCATCCAAGTCCCTTCAGATAGACGTGGAAACAGTTATCCTCCTGCACCAGGCCAGCATTCCTGCTCTGGATGGGCAGGATTCCTCCTCCCAGAACCTGTTGTTCACGTCTGGTCACCAGCACCCAGAAGCAATGCAGGAGCGTGGCCAATTCTTGATGGAAACGAAATCCCACCCATCTGCCAACCCTCTCGGCTCACACATATTTACTCTTTGGATGTGTTCTCATGAAAATCAATTCCAGACCCACCTCCCATGTATGGTAAACATGACTAACAAGGAATGGGGAGAGGCCAAGGCAGCAGGGAACAAAGCTGCCTGGGTGCAGTGATGCTGCCTTTGCTTCAGTGTGGTGGGACAAGCCCAAGCAGGATGCTGTAAGGCCACATGGGCTCCTTTCCAGCCCTCTTCACTGCTCGGCTGGACCTCCATCCCCTCTGGCAGTTTGGGCTCCAGGACACCCGGTTCCACCCCAGCTTAACCTGGAGGAGGCTGAGTCACAGCATGGGCTCCTGCAGAACCACTTGCACGAGGTTATGACAAACTCCAAGGAGTGATTTTCTCCAGCTGAGGAATGCCCAAGCATGCAAAAAGCATGCTCTGTAAATCTTCGTTTCCTGATCTCTATAATAGCTTTTTCTTTCTCTCTCTCTCATTTTTTATTTTTTATTTTTTTTTAATAAATGGCAAAGCTTGAGCTGTCTCAGTTGCTCACTTGCTACCTTTACCTGCCCTGATTGACGCTGGTCAGCTAAGGAGGTGAAATACAGCATGTAAACAAGCTGAGCACTCAGCACAGAGACTGATCTGATGGTCCTGGAGACAGCTGACACCTCTCTGGGTCAGAGAATTACCAACCATTTCCCAGCCGAAGAGAATTTGCCTCTCAGACCGACACTGGGTTACACAGGACACCTTATTTTGTGTTGCATTATGAATTAAGGATCATCTGCTGAGAGGACACCAAGAAAAAGCTCTTCAGGGACTGCCAAGAGCTTGGCCCCGTTTGTATCCTCATGGCACCCCCATGTGGGGAGAGCCCGGAGGCTCCAGCACCAGACCCACACTTTGCTCTGCTGGGGAAAAACCTCCTGGGGGAAGGAATGATGAAGTTGACATAGAGATCAAACAAGAAGTTGGGGTTAGGAAAGACACTGGGGAGCAGGAGGGAACCCCAACCCATGGGGCTGGTGGAGCTGGGTGGCTTCTGACAGGGCACAGCCTCCACAAACCTGCCTACATCTCATGGGAGCATTGCAGAGGAAAGGGGGAGCTGGAAGCATCTGGCAGCACATCTGGTTTGTTGCAGCTGGATACTCCCAGGCTCTGTTTCTGCGTTTGCGTGCTTCACAGTGTGGCTGGATCCTTTGATAGCCAAAATACAGATGGGGAAGGGAATGGCTGGGACACCCCCAGGGTATAACTGTTAATTATCAAGGACAGTTTCATTCTTATAGTTCTCCTTTCATTCATTTTTTTCCCCATTTCCTTTCATTTCTTCACTCTTTTTTTCTCTATTGATCCACCTATGTATGTTTGTATCTATCTACATACCTATCTACGCATTTATCTATCCACCTACCTATATGCCTATCTACGTATATCTATCCACCTATCTATCCATCCACCTAACCATCCATCTATGGAATCATAGAATCATTACTGTTGAAAAAGACCTCTAAGATCATCTAATCCAATCGTCCACCTACCACCAGTGTTGCCAACTAAACCACCTTCCCTGGTACTGCATCTAAATGTTTCTTGAACACTTCCAGGGATGGTGACTCCTGGGCAGCCCATTCCAGTGCATGACCACTGTTTCATAGAACAATATTCTCCTAATAGCCAACCTCCCCTAGTGCAATATGAGGCCATCACCTCTCATCCTATTGCTGTTACCTGGGAGCAGAGGCTGATCCTCATCACACTACAACCTCCTGTCAGAGAGTTGTAGGGGGCAGTAGTGTCTCCCCTGAGCTGCTGCTTCTCCAGACTGAACCATCCCAGTTCCCTCAAACGTTCCTCATAGTGTGCTCCAGTCCCCTCACAGCTCCATTATCCTTTTCTATCTATCCATCTATCTAATCCACACATCCATCCATCTATCCACCTATCCATCCATCCAACTACCCATCTATGTAACTATCCATCCATCCATCCATCCATCCATCCATCCATCCATCCATCCATCCGTTCACCCATCCATCCCTCCATCCATCCCTCCATCCATCCATCCATCCATCCATCCATCCATCCATCCATCCACCCATCCATCCATCCATCCCTCCATCCATCCATCCATCCATCTATCCATCCATCCATCCATCCATCCATCCATCCATCCATCCATCCATCCACCCATCCATCCATCCATCCCTCCATCCATCCATCCATCCATCTATCCATCCATCCATCCATCCATCCATCCATCCATCCATCCATCCATCCATCCCTCCATCCATCCCTCCATCCATCCATCCATCCATCTACCCATCCATCCATCCATCCATCCATCTACCCATCCATCCCTCCATCCATCCCTCCATCCATCCATCCATCCATCCATCCATCCATCCATCCATCCATCCACCCATCCATCCATCCCTCCATCCGTTCACCCATCCATCCCTCCATCCATCCCTCCATCCATCCCTCCATCCATCCATCTACCCATCCATCCATCCATCCATCCATCCATCCATCCATCCATCCATCCATCCATCCATCTACCCATCCATCCATCCATCCATCCATCCATCCATCCATCCATCCATCCATCCATCCCTCCATCCATCCATCCATCCATCTATCCATCCATCCATCCATCCATCCATCCATCCATCCATCCATCCATCCCTCCATCCATCCCTCCATCCATCCATCCATCCATCTACCCATCCATCCATCCATCCATCCATCTACCCATCCATCCCTCCATCCATCCCTCCATCCATCCATCCATCCATCCATCCATCCATCCATCCATCCATCCATCCATCCACCCATCCATCCATCCCTCCATCCGTTCACCCATCCATCCATCCATCCATCCATCCATCCATCCATCCATCCATCCATCCATCCCTCCATCCATCCCTCCATCCATCCATCTACCCATCCATCCATCCATCCATCCATCCATCCATCCATCCATCCATCCATCCATCCATCCATCCATCTACCCATCCATCCATCCATCCATCCCTCCATCCATCCCTCCATCCATCTATCCATCCATCCATTTACCCACACATCCACCCATCCACCCTTCCATCTACTCACCTGTTCACCTGTAACACCTATTAAGCATTATTTCCTATATATATATTCCTATTTAATACCAAAAGCTGATGTCCTGGAGGGTAGAGTTCCTGCACTGGGTGGGGGAATCTCATGCAGGACCACCCCTCTCACTGCAGCTCGTGTTGGCAAGCAGCTCCCCATGCCAGGAGAGCTTCTGCCTGTTCAGCAGCCAAAATTTCCTCTGTCAGCAAACTCCTTTATTGCTAGCTGGAGGAAGCGTCTGTCCACAGGGCTTTCACAGCCGGAGCTGCCTCCTGCATGAATCACCCTGCCCATGGCGTGGGCTAAATGGCACAATGTGCCCATGCACCGAAGCAGACGCGTAGCCTTGCAGCAGTGAGGGAATAAAAGCCATTTTCCTGGCTCGCTTGTTGTTCTCAAAGAGGCTTAAACCCCCTCAGGGAATGAGTTCAGAAGGGAAGAATGAAGAGATAGACAGTGCACAAGCCCGATGTATGCCTATATTCTCCTTATTATATTGACTCCACGCTGAGCTCCTGCCTTCCTTGTACAACCCAGCACTGCTCACAGAGAACTCCAGAGCCTCTCCTCGCTCCAGTGCCACCCCGAGGACACAGCTCCCCATTCAGCATCTCTGAGGGCTGTGAGATGGGATGGCTGTTTGCACACCGCCGCATTTACACAAAAGCATTCCAGAAGATTAAAATCAATGGGCTGGAGATTTATTTGCTGAACCACTCGGCGCGTCGCAGCCGTTGGGTTTTTGTTTCTTTCCCTCTCTGTAAGGGAACAGGACAGCCTCTGTGGTGCTGGGTTTTTTTCCATCTTTTCTCCTTGGCAAGGTGATGCAGAACAAGCCCAAGTTTGGGGTGACAATCCTGAGAGCATCCAAGTCTCTTCAGGCTTTCCACATGCATCCCAACATACCCAATGTGCTTGGTAGAGGCACAGCCAAGATCAAACCAACGGCCAAATTCCCATCCTCACCACTTTGGAACAGGTTGCCCAAGGAGGCTGTGGATGCCCCATCCCTGCAGGCATTCAAGGCCAGGCTGGATGTGGCTCTGGGCAGCCTGGGCTGCTGCTTGGCGACCTGCACACAGCAGGGCTTGGAGCTGGATGAGCGCTGTGCTCCTGTGCAACCCAGGCCATTCTGTCATTCTGTGATTCTATGAAATCCATTTTCCCTTTGCCTGCTCTCAGCCCAGGGGCTGAGCATTGCCTGCTTTCGTTTCTGAAGTTATCAGCAAAATATTTATTTGACCAAGCCAAGATAACAGCGGGCTGCGGGCCAGTGCCAAAAAGCACTGAACTCAATGGGAGCTTTTCCTGTTGACTGCAGTGAGTTTTGCAGTGAGGACGTGACCCTGAGCTGGGAATTACAGGTGGTCCAAACACTCCCCAAAGCTCTTCCCCATGCTCATCACTGGGTGTTGGTAGAATCGTCAAATCATTAAGCTTGGAGATGATCTCCAAGATCCCCAACTCCAACCCAGCCCACCCCGCCATGCCCACCGACCACATCCCTCAGTGCCACATCCCTGTGGTTTGGAAGAGCCCCAGGGATGGTGACCACACCGCCTCCGTGGGCAGCCTGTGCCACTGCATTGCCATTGCTTTGAAAAAGAAATTTTCCCTAATATCCAACCTATTTTCTATGAGGATCTGATGGAAGACAGCTCCAAAAGCCTTCCTGACGTTCAAGAAGCCACTGCCAGGCCAACATTCATCACATTCGGTCTCCACTGTGTCCCACACCATGCTTTTCACACACATACCCCTATATGAGATCTACCCACACCCATATGAGAACTACGTATCTCTAGATGAGATCTATCCCTATATGAGACCTTTATATTCCCATATGAGATCAATCCATCCCTATATGAGGTCTATATATCCGTGTACGAGATCTATCCATCCCTGTAAGAGATCTATCCATCTCCATAGGATATCCATAGGAGTGCTGAGGGAAGTGGTGGAGGTGATAGCCTCTACCTGCCATCATTCATCAGCACTCCTTGTTGATTGGTGAGGTCCCAGAAGACTGGAGGCTTGCCAATGTGACTCCTATCTGCAAGAAGGGTTGAAAGGAGAATCCGGGGGGAACTACAGGCCTGTTAGCCTGACCTCGGTGCCAGGGAAGGTTATGGACCGTGATATATGGTATAGGATTCTATATGTCCCCATATGAGGTCTATCCATCTCCATATGAGATCTATCCATCCCCATGAGGTCTATCCATCCCTATATGAGATCCACATATACCCATATGAGATCTATCCATCTCTATGAGATCTATTCATCTGAATATGAGATCCACATAACCCTGTATGAGGTCTGTATGGTCTTATCCATCCCTATATGAGATCCGCATATCCCCACATGAGATCTACCCATCTCTATGAGATCTATCCATCTCCATGAGATCAATCCATCTGCATATGAGATCCACGTGTCCCTATGTGAGATCTATCCACCCCCATGAGATCTATCCATCTCTATATGAGATCTACCCATCTCCATATGAGATCAATCCATCTGCATATGAGATCCACGTGTCCCTATGTGAGATCTATCCACCCCCATGAGGTCTATCCATCCCTATATGAGATCCACATACTCCTGTATGAGGTCTATCCATCCCCATATGGCATTCACATATCCCCACATGAGATCAACCCATCCCCATGAGGTCTATCCATCCCTATGTGTGATCCACATATCCCCATATGAGATCTATCTATCTGTATATGAGATCCACATATCCCTGTATGAGGTCTGTATGGTCTTATCCATCCCTATATGAGATCCACATATTCCTATATGAGATCTACCCATCTCTATGAGATCTATCCATCTCCATATGAGATCCATCCATCCCTATGAAATCTATCCATCTGCATATGAGATTCACGTGTCCCTATGTGAGATCTATCCACCCCCATGAGGTCTATCCATTCCTATATGAGATCCACATATCCCCATATGAGATCTATCCATCTCTATGAGATCTATCCATCATCTGCATATGAGATCCACGTATCCCTATGTGAGATCTACCCATCCCCATGAGATCTATCCATCCCTATATGAGATCCATCCATCCCTATGAAATCTATGCATCTGCATATGAGATTCCCATATCCCTATGTGAGATCTATCCTCCCCCATGAGGTCTATCTATCCCTATATGAGATCTACATACCCCTGTATGAGGTCTATCCATCCCCATATGGCATTCACATATCCCCACATGAGATCTACCCATCTCTATGAGATCTATCCATCCCTATATGAGATCCACATATCCCCACGTGAGATCTATCCATCTCCATATGAGATCCATCCATCCCTATGAAATATACGTATCTGTATATGAGATCCACATATCCCTGCATGAGATCTATCCACCCCCATGAGGTCTATCCATCCCTATATGAGATCCACATATCCCCACATGAGATCTACCCATCCCTATGAGATCCATCCATCCCTATGAAATCTACCCATCTGCATAAGAGATTCCCATGTCCCTATGTGATATCTATCCACCCCCATGAGGTCTATCCATCCCCATACGAGGTCTATAGGGCAGGGCTTGCTCTCCTGGCCTGCACATACCCCGACACCTGCAGCACTCTGCAGCTGGAGCACAGAGCTGCGGTGTGTGTCAGCAGAGGACACTGCTGCGCTGCATCACTTAAAGAAGCTTTCCTGGGGGAAGTGAGTCCGACTAATTAGCAGCACTAAATAAACAAATAGCTGCAGGAGGATGGAACATTCAAATTGCATTTAGCTTGCGGAAGTGTTAAAGGCTCTTAAAGCCAGAGGAGGGTGAGGGTCACCGGTTGGGAACTGGAGTGAAGCAGAGCATCAGTGATGAAGGAGGCAGTGATGAAGCATTTGGGGAAATGCAATTAGGAGAATTGCCTCTGCAATCCACCCTGGTGATTTTCTTCAAGGAAACGTTCAAACGCAGTTTAATATTTAAAGGTTTCATTGCAGCAGCTCTAATAAGCTAAGGCAGAGTCAGGCCATGCAGGCTGAACCCAAGGCTGCCTGATCACCATCACATGGCAGTGCGTGGTGAGGAGCAGCACTGCTGTTGTGCACAGCCCTGCATTACCTGTGTGCACCCCTTGCACGCCTCCTGTTCACTCTTTGCACACTCCCTGAGCACTTGTGCATACCTCTGTGCACGCCTTCTACCCAAACCTTTGCATCTGCCTGCACCCCTTCATGCATCCCCTCTTTTGTGCACCTTCCAGTGCTCTCACTTTCCTCCCATGCAGCCCCTTGTGTGCCCATCCTGTGCCCCCTCCCATGCACCCTTTTTGTGCACCACTTTGCACACCCTTGTGCACACCTGTGTGCACTCCCAGTCCCTCTTCTATGCATCCTCACGTGCACGACTGGCACCCTCTTGTGCAGCCCTCTGCAATACCTTTGCACCCACTGCACAGCCCCATGTGCGTCCCCCCTCTCACCCACCTGCATCCCTCTATGCACCTCCTATGCACCCCTCTGTGCACCTTCTTTGCACCCATACAAACCCTCTGCATCCCCAATGCACCTTCTGTGCTTTTTCCATGCAACCCCTTAAGCACCCCCTCTTCACCATGCACCCCCTATGCATTCACCTCCCATGCAACCTCTACATACCCCTATACACCCCCCCATACACCCCACACCCCCCATGCACACCCCAAACATCCCCCCATACACGTCCCAGGCACCCCCTATGCATCCCCTATGCACCCTGCCATGCACATCCTATGCATTCATCCCCCGTGCAAACTCTATCTACCCCTATACACCTCCCATACACCCCACACTCCCCGTGCACACCCCAAACATCCCCTCATATACCCACTCTGCACTGCTATACACCCTCTGTGCTCCCTTATATACACTCCATGCACCCCTTTTGCACCCGTATACACCTTCTATGCACACCCATGCACCCCTTATATACCCCTGTGCATCCCCCATGCATCCCTTATGCCTTCTCTATGCACCCCTTATATGT